TCCTACCTGTAAGCTCCGAAAACCTCAATCCACGAAAGCCCACCTGGTGCTTAGACACCAGGCATGGGGCCTGGCTAAGTAGGGTTAGCATTGACAGTTTCTACTAGGCAATTTAGCGCTCACCATCAACAGCGTCATAGTCCCTGTCGTCAGTTCCCCCACTCCTTGAGGAGCGCCAGCACCCTGGACCCCAAACCCTAAATAAACCCTGAAGCATTCACCCCTAAGACTTCGGGTGTAGGGCCACTCGATGGATTCAGGCCGACCACCGTAAACCCAAAAGCGTGCACAGTAAGCCCCAAATGGCAGCTTCTATGCCCCATGTATGCGTGATTGTGTACGCCAAAACACTATGCCCTGAGTGTTGCAGCTAAATGAACCAAACCCTAAACCCTAAATCCTAAATGGCCCACTGCACTCGAACCCTGCAGCCGGGCCTTCTGTTGCGGTCGCGGGCTAGAGCCTGCAACCGAGCTTTTCGGGTTTAGGGCTGAAGGTTTGGGGCTTACGTTTTTTGGGGTTCAGGGTGTGCGTTTTAGAGTCGGCCGTGGAAAGGCTCCGTCCCCCCATAAACCTACCCTTGACATCCCTTGACCCGAAATTGCCCAAAGCCCACACCCCAATGCCCTTCATGCCTCTACCCCGAGACCGCAAGCCCTGAATCCTTCAGCCCAAGGACCGTGCAATGTATACCGCATACTCTAGGGGTCTGAATAATAGGGTCCTTTACAGTATAAATATAATAACGAATCCCCAAAGAATAATGTAGGTAATTACTGAGGCCCCTATATCACCCTACTCCGTAAAGGTGTGCTTCCTAGATTCCTAGATCACAGCAGCTCCCAGATCTAACTACCGGGTTGTCGGATCTTTTGAGGCTTTTTCTTACACGCCCCTTTCTTCCTCCTGCTGTGAGGTTTGGGGCTTCAGGCCTTCCGTGCTTGAAGGTTTGGGCTTAGATATTTGCATCTCAGGGCTCTAGTACGGCTTGAGCGGATTTTAAGTCTTCAGTGGCTGGGGCTTAACTCATCGGACAGCCGGAGCAGACTCTCCTGTTGGCAGTTCTTTGGCATCTGATGGGAAATCGGACCCCTGTCGACCTGCGAGACTATGCAACGGCTTCATGGCGCCACACAGCCATCCTCCCTCTTTGACCCTCTTGATCTTGTTCAACATGATCACAAACGGATCTGTGTTCTCTTGCTGTACTGCTACTGATGATGTCAGCAGATTATGGTCATTCGTGCCATAATCGGCGCGTCGCACCCGGGCATCGGCAAAAACACACTTTTTTCTGCCCCATCTTACTGCGTCCGGTCGCGCAGATAAGTCTCCTGGAAAGAAGAGTCTGCGATTAATTATCGAAAATATATACTGAATAAATGGGGATGTATGCTTCAGACCTCTAAGATAAGGGCCTTAAGGGTTTAAATAGGCTTGCCGGCGAGGGAGATCTGTACAATGCTTGGGCGAATTGTGAGACCATAGTCCTGCGAACCCTACGGCAAGCCTGCACTCTAAGCTGCAGTCATGTACCCCTTGATTTCTGCTCCCAGCGCAGACCGGTGATTTCTGCTCCTAGCGCAGACCGGTGGCCCCAAGACCGTGCACCAAAGCGATGTCAAATGCAACAGTAGGGCTGAAATCATGTACCATTGTATGTAATCCGAGATACCATGATCCGATCCACATTGTGTCGTTAGGCTAAACTCAGCCTTTCGTGCAGAAGGCGATCGCCTGCTGTGCTGCGAAATTCTCCTACACTTCGGGCACCCATCCTCTCAGCAAGGCTCTGCGAATCTCCTCCGTTGTCGGAGGAGGGAAGAGGGTTAGGGTTTAGGGAGATCAATAAGACACTCGTCTCTAAACGCCAACAAAAACGCTCTCTCTCTCTATATATATATATATGTATGTATATATATATATAGGTATACATATATGTATATGTATACACATGTGCTTTTTATGAAACCCTGATCTTGATTCAGGCCGAGGGGTTACACTGATCCGGGATCTACTCTGACGCATGGCAGTGACAGGCCGTCCAAGAAGACATGCCAATGTCACCGCATTGGTAATGCTGAGAATCATGCGCTTCTTTCAGAAAGCGGCCGCAGTATGCACGGAAACATTAGTGGGAGGTTCCCAAGATCAAAGACAATGATACAAGAACGTATGTTCCACGGCTATATGTAGAAGGGGTTCAACGGCACCTAGTTTTCTGAAAGATCCTTGTCTTGAGCTCGCAGCTTTAAAGCCTGAAGTCCCAAGTACGAACCCTGAGCCAAACCCACTCGGCCTACAAAAGCCCGATTGTCTGCATCATCCGAAGCTGAAGCCCCACAGTTGAAGCTTTGAGCCACAAAGAGCTGAAAGACCCCAAACCTCAAGTGACCCCAAACCTCAAGTCCTTGAATCCAAGTAATATCCCTTGAAAGCCGATTCTAAAAACTCCGCAGCCGATTAACCCCGCTGGCCCTAGACCCGGTCGTTGAGGATCCTCCCCCTCGATCGCCCGAAGGGTCGCGAGAACCGCCTGCCAGAGGTATAGGGTTTCGGGTCGATTTTGCAAACACCGTCGTCAAGATCAGCTGGCGTTTTCGATTGGGGCTAAACCCGAAACCTTGAGGCGTAATTGCTCGGGCCCAAAGAGCCGGAGATAGCTGCAGACTGGGGTTCTCTTGGAAGAGGTTGCAATGTACCGAAAGGAGTGAAGCAAAGTGCGTTTTCGTAAGGAAACCCTGAACCCTGAACCCTAAACCCTGACGACCAAACCCTAAACCCCAAACACGAGATTCGACCAACTTTAACCATGGAGTTCCTGTATTAGATTTGCTGAAATCGTGCTTTCGCTCCTTCAAACTAATCACTCGTCCGTATTTGCTTGAGTTTTCATGCGACAGAGCTAGATTCGAGCCGGGCATCAGCTGTCCCAATCCCCCCAAAATGGACAAAGCCTAAACCCTAAGCCTAAAGTGGGGATGGTGACAAGAGCCGTCTTAATATGAACGAGAAGGGGCGCTTGGAATAGTTTCGGCAATGGAGGAAACAGCTGCGTGCCGTAGAAAAAGCGTCGTTGGTTGGGGTGTTTTACGGCTCAGCGCTTTGGTTGAGGGGGTGAGGTGGCTTGCAGATGACAGGATGCTGTAGAAGACATGCAGCAAAACCTATCCTAAAACAAAACAAGTCATACATAAACATCAAACTAAACCTTGCAACAGCCGTTACGGAATGCCTGGTTGCTGTAGAGACTGATTTATCCACCCCCTCCTTCATCCATGTAAAATAAGATGTAGGTAGCTTCGGAATGGAAGCCGCGAAAAACTGCACAGTGAGTCTTCCGTCAAGAGCTTGCCTTTCGATCCTCGACCCTCATACGGGTAGTTCTCTACATCAGCGTCCGTTTTAGGATCCTGCTTGTAAGGGTGCTATACTATTAGGATCTAAAACGGGACCCTGATGTTTTGAGAACTACCCATACGAGAATGCAAGTGCAAGTACTGTTCTCCACTGTGCCCTTTCGGGCTCGTCACCTGGCGAGTGTCTCCTGATACATGAAACCCCAATCTGCAAAGCACCTGAGCTGACTTAACCATGGCCATAATATGACCTCAATGTCGAATCCTCCGAAATCTAGCCGTTATCCCCAATACACTGTGGCTCACATGAAGCCAGGTTTTTGTTGTTGGTAACACCCAAGATGTACACTCACCAATACTCCTAAGCCTAGGCAGCACTATATACACTTATCCGAATCCGCAAAATACACACTCATGTACAATCCTTCTCAAACCAGACAACCTTTTTCGAACCAGCACCCTATTCAATTTATTCAGTCCTTTTCTTTTGAACGGTTCAAGTTTCGAGCAGCTGTCTCCTAAACCCGCCTGGAGGTCTTCCGGCAGCGCCGCCCGAGCCACTCTTGCCTGGCCATGGCAATCCTGGAGCAAGAAGGGGGCGCGATTTAGGGTTTAGGGTTTAGGGTTTATTGTGCGTTTTGCAGCCTAAACCCTAGACCCTAAACTTTGCAGGGATAGGGGCCTGGAGGTGTAGGGTTTCGGCCTCTTGCGGGTTTGGGGGGCTGAGGGCTTTCCGGGCTGAGGCTCTTCCTGAAAGCTTCGCAGGTCTTTGAAACCCTAAACCCTAAACCCTAAACCCAACCCTAAACCCTAAACCCAAGGCCTTTGTCCCAAAACTCCTTCAGACCCCACGAGCCATAAACCCCTGAGCCGGAAGCGCTTGACAATGGAGGCACAGCTCACTGAAGTTCAAGAATCCCTAAAACCTCAGTCCCTCATTGTCCCTTTGCCCCTGCAGAAACCCATAGAGTTCCAATCACCAGCTCCCCAAAACAACTTCAGGTCCTGAATGATTAGAATAGGGTTTTGGCGTCCTGAATAGCATGACTATAGTAAGGAACCCCCCCAGAAAAACATTAGCAATTATTGAGGCCCCTATACTCTAAACCCCTAAACCCCTAAACCCTAAACCCCTCAACCCTAAACCCTAAACCCCTAAACCCTAAACTCTAAACCCTGAAACCCTGAAAGGCCCTCCTGGAAGGTCAGCTCGAAGCGGTGAAGGAAGTTGCGAGGGCACCTCGGCAGAAGTGAAACGAACCACGTGGCTCGGGTTTAGGGCCTAGGGTTTAGGGTTTAATTAGGGCTTTAGGGTTTAGGGTTTAGGGATGCGTAATCTCCATTTCTCTGGAGAGTTTATGATGCTTGGCAAGGTTTAGGGCTAGGGAGTTTCGGGGCTTAGAAAGCTTTAAGCCGTGCCGCTGGGGGTAGCTGTTGCTCAGATAAGGCCTTAACTAGTTCTAGAGCCGAGCCCCAAGACCCTACACGAAAAAATTGAAGACTTAGGACCAAAACCCTGAACCCCGCAGTGAAGCGCCCCAAACCTTAAACCCTAAACCCAAGAACCCCTGAACTCTCTAGAATCCTGGTAGTGTCCGCATAGAGCACGAACAAATAGTTTGATGAACCCCTCAGTGGAACCCTTCGGGGGATCTTGAAATTGCCGGCGGAGGACCAGGCCACATCTTCCGCGAAAATGGCCGGGTCCGTGTATTTTTCATCACAGACGGTGGGATGGCCTGTGGCAAGGATGAGGTTGGCTGCTGCTTTCTGTGTCTTTTGGGGCTCCTATTATCAGGGTTCCCTTTGAGGGTCTGTGGGATGGCATTGTGACAAAGCTGGGATTGGCCGCTGTGTGGTGTCATTGCTGGAAGGTTCCTGTAAGGGTTGCTGGAAGGGTTCCTTTTATGAGGTTTCCCATAAAGAGAAGCCTACAATGGAGCCCCATAGTACCGTTAAAGGGAGCCCTATAACAGAACCCCATAATACCTGTACAGGTTTCCGCAGGGTGTTACGGGCTTACGGTATGGGGCAAAGGCTCCGGGTCAAGGTGTCAGGTTTCACAGGTTACAAGCCTTTGTGATAGCAGCGATTTCCTAGGTGTAGATTTGCCCATGCCATTTCCTAGCATTGCGTTCGCTCTCCCTCGCCTTCCTGCAGCTTGCACAAAGGCCCGAAAGGGCTCGTTCAAAAGGGTTTCTCTAGTAGGCTTATAGGGGGAAGCGCAACCAAGCTGTTGAGCCACTTCTCTTGCAGAGGGGGGAATGGGACCAATATCACGAGCATCAATGACTGTCTGTCTTGAGGCCGATGCCAAGTCGCTTCCTCACCAGCTACAGCACAAAACCAACAGTAGGATGTTCTTGATGTTGCGGGAGGCGGTGTACAAAGAATCTTGCAATCATAAGAGAAAAGGATGATAAAAGCCTGCTTAGCGTAGCGGGAAAAAGTTTGGAAGATAGGGACCATCGGGCAGGTGGGCCTTTTGCTTCCTATACCAAACCCACCAGACTAGCTTGACCGGATCCGCAGAACCCCAAAGCCTAAACCCCAAAACCCCAAAGCCCGAAAGCCTGAACCCGCAGAGGGATCTTCGGTTCAAGCATGTCAGGGAGCCTAAACCCATAACCCCGAACACCCTCAACCCTCAACCGAGAATCCAGCCTGCATGCTTAAGGTGCACTCTGATTTGGTGCGTCCGTCCGGTTCGGATCCTGAGGTGCTCAATCACAATGGCAGTAGTAGTGATCATAACGACAATAAAAACACGAATATATTCTGATGGCTATTGCGATCATTATTACACTTGTTGCGCTTCCTCGCATTATTATTGCTATTCTTCTTCTTATGTATTATTATCTATAATACCTTATTGCTTCTTGATATCATTAGTTAGGTCTCATGATTAGCTCGTACTGTTATTAAACAAAGATCAAATAAGCATCTCAGAGCTGCCAACGCCCAAGGATCTCCGCCCCCTCAGCCCCCTAACAAACGATCACCGCCTCAACATAAACTTCATAAACATACCTTAAGGCTAACCATAAAGTTCATAAACAGACCATGAGGCTAACCACTACACTCAGAACTTGACGACTAACGTAGCCGTTCTACGACCCCAAAGCCTAGAGCCAGAAATCGCCGGGGCACAGCACCAAAAGCAGGGAGAAAGGCTGATCACCTCTCGCCAGCAGGCACAAGGCCTCTGCCTGCGTCAGGGTCTGGGCTGTATCAGGGGTTTACTTGGAGGTTCATGGGTAGTTATAAGTGGGGTTATAAGTAGGATAACTATAGTTATAACCCGTATGAGCGGACTTGTAACCCCACTTATAGCTTCCCATGAACCTCCAAGTAGGGCTAAGTGTTTAGGGGTTAGGGTTTAGGAGGTATATGTCTAGTACATGTTGCATGCTGCCCCCCCCTCCCATGCAGGAGGACCCCTCGAACATAAGAGTAGTATGCAGGGTCTTAGGTATTCACATCATGCAAATTCTACAACTTTTACTGTGTGCGGGCAGTACCCAAGACATGTGGATTTTGGGGTCGGGGGTTTAGGGGTTCGGGATTTGGAGTGTGAAGGGTTGGGGCTCGAGGACGTAACAGTTGGGATGTAGCGCCCCTTTCATTTCCACAGTCTTGGCGTCCCTTGACGGGATGAAGGAACTGGTGTTTAGAGTCGTCACTATCAAACCTGGCTGTCTCCTCGTTTCGCTTCTGTCTGCATTCGACTGGCAAGAAAAATCCTATGTCCATGCCTATATGATACATATCTGCAAATAACTACTACATTATATGATTATATGTATATATAGCGTACACTCATAGCAGTCCTCCGCCCTGTATATACATGCATGCCAATGAATACGGCGAAGGCCCCAGTGCGCAGCGGCCTGAGTCCAAGCGGGCTTTCCGGCTGCACTCACCCGGCTCGTGGCAGGGAACGTCTTGCTCGTCTTGACCCTGGCCCTAAACCCTAAACCCTGAAACCCCTACACCCTGAGGTCTTTAAGCCTATCTTCATCTCGAAGCCTCACTTCGAAATGCAGGGGCTCTTACTGTCAAACACAACGTTCAATATCCTTAAAGAAGGCAGTGGTAGATAGGTAAGATTCCTAGAAGAACCTGAGCGCAGGGAAGAGGGCTGTACCTGGGGTTCACACGCTGAAGCATTCTCTGATCAAACCCTAAACCCTAAACCCTAACTCGAAGCTTGGGGTTTGGAACTGGAATCTTCGAGACTCCGTCTCTCCAGGATTCATGTTTTTTTGGAGGGATTTAGGTTTGAGAGCTTAGGAGTCTAAGTTTTGGTGCCTTTGGGAAACGTGGTCTAAGTATTGGTGCTAGGGCTTTTGACCCAGAGCTCCCTTACCCCCCAGCACCCAACGACTGAATACCATGCCATGAATCAGGAGCGGACCGCATAACGCACCTATTCAAGAGTCCTCGGAAGCCCAGGCACCGACAAAAACCGAAAGGGACCCTAGTTTAGAGAACTACCCCCCTTAGACCCCTATAGCACCCTTAGAGGCTACCTTATAGAAGCTCTTATAGATCCCTTTAAAGGAGCCCCAACAGGGACCCTAAAAGCCCACTCGCCTCAAACAAAAACCCAAGCTCTGAACCCAGAGAACTATCAAGCACGATATCAAAGACCCAAAAGCAACACCACGACCCCCAGTGGGAGTCTAGGGGTGAACGAACCTCTGAAGCAACACCTCCTGGCAGGTTTGTAGAGATTAGGTTTGGGGGATGCCATATTGAAGTTTTTGGGGCTTTAACAATAACAATAATAATAACATAATAGCAATAATAATAAAAAATAATAATAATAACAATAATAACATAATCGAATGCTCCAGGGCTTCTCGCTCGGGTTGTAGACTCTGCGGTTTAGGGTTTCGGTACTCGGCCGAGGGCAACATGTAGACTGTTCGCGGCTCAGCTGTTTAGAGATTTCCGTGATTTGCCCAAGCTCTGGGTCATCACTGCGGACTCTCGAAGCATCCTTTGTTATATAGGTTTAGGGTCTCAGGCCTAATGCGGTTCTAGTGCCCAGTGGCATGTCGGAGACTACAGCGGCAAAGGGCAGCTTGAAATAAGCAAGGCACCTTGCATTGATGATGTGCTTTCCCGTAGAAAGGTGGCCGTGGCACAGCACCTGAGAATCTTGTTGCCCAGCATTCCCTAGCTCTTGCTCTGACCCATTAAATAAGTACACTTCGGAAGCCGAAGAACCAAGTCACTGATCTGCCACTCTTGTGCTGGATTTGCAAACATACAGACCTTCTGTGCTCCTCTAGGTGGGGTTCAGTACTCGGAGACTGGAGTTGCGAGTCACTTGAAGGTGACGATGCTGATGATGCTGACGATGAGGGTTCATCAGCAGCAGCTGCATTTTCAGTGTTGGCCACATGGTGTCGCTGATCATTCAGATTCTGGTTGTAATCACTATAGATACTCATTGCTGCTCACACTTCATTGTTTGACCTTTTGACTGTGAAGGCTTCCTGCTACCCTGCATCCTGCACAAAATTCTGGCCCCGATGGCATGCAAGGGGCCAAGTAGTGCCGTCCCAGTTCGTAGGTGTCCTGCTGCCAGCGCAGGGTGAAGTAGCCCACGAAGGTCTTTCCTCTAGCAAGGGGAAGGTTTGGGCTTTTCGGGAGCATCTGATGCGAGCCATCCGTCGAACTGCATCTAGCAGAGCTAGCAAGCATGCATGTCACCATCATCCTCCACCTCCTCCCCGCCATCATCTTCAGTATGATGCCTTCCACCTTCCTTTTTGTTAAAACTGCTGGTGCCATGTTCATCCTCCATCAGCATCAGAAGCAGAGGAAGAGGGCTCGCAAAGCAGCAACATCAAGGGAGACGACATAAAATCAAATCGTGAAGTTCGAAGATGAGAGATGCCCAAAAAGATGGACCGATTGATCAGTTCTGATGACAGCAACGGCAATGCCATAGAGTGCAGCAGCGCTAGTCTTGACAAAGTACAAACGGACTTGCTGTGCAAAGCTACTAGCCGTGGAACTGTTGCTAAACCTATCATCATGGCAATCTTGATAGCTTCCATGGAGCCCTACTTTACTAATTGCAATCCCGTCGTGAAATCCCCATGAAGGGCAGTTTTTGCCCGTTCTCACCTGCCTTCTAATACCGGTGATCCTCTTCAAGCAAGCCTCCCCCACTAACCAACATCTCAAGTCAACCCTAACATCCACACCTGAAAGAACCACCTAAACCCTAAACCCTAAACCCTAACTCCTAAACCCCAACATGCACACCTGAAAGAACCAGCTCTCTCAAGACAAGGCCGAACGCTGTTGAATCACTGTTGAAGCGGTTAGATCTATGGAACGCTGCAGGTACAACGATGGGGTTTTAGTGCTAAGTGTGGCTCGGGCCTCGGTTTGTCTGCGCAGGCTGTCGCAGGGTTTAGGGTTCAGGGGTTCAGGGGGGTAGGGGGTTTTGGGGTTTTCGGGAGGTGCTTGAAAGCATCCGAGAGGCCCACAAGGATCAGGCCACTACTGGGCACATCCAACCGGTGAATGATGCCAAACTGGTGCACCTGTCACACGGACTTGAGGGTCTAGAAACCCCAGACCCTAAACCCAAAGTGTGGAACTGAATACCGGTTTCTGGTCAACATTTGGCATCGGGGTCAGGCAGTCCACTGCAGAAACCTTTGCAGTCCAACCGTGATGCTTTGTCAAGTCATCATAATACCTCCTAACATAGAAAACCTACGTTACTTAGGACTGTGAGGGCATGTGCACATATCCACATGTGTGACTGGGAATGGTAGGGCGACGGCCTAAGCGTTGGCATCTGAAAAGGCTGCAGCTAGCTGGGTCTGCAAGCTATGCAGGCTAAACTGTGATTTGCGTATGAGAAGCATGGCTGAATACCACAACGTAACGCGACGTCCTGTCGAACATCACCATGGCCGTACTAGGCGGTCTAAACAGAAAAGACAAACAAACACAAAACAGGCAGGCGGGCAAGCAAACATAGTTGCTTGTTGTTATACGGTGAGGTACGGTTACTCCTAAACATGCAAATCTACACAATATGCAAACATATACACATGCTGACAACCACTAGTCACATGATCATACATTTGGTCATAAAACACATGCATACAAATATACATACATACATACA